GCGGTTGAAACGGGAAGACCCCAGCGAGTAAAGATCCCGAGACCCGATATTGCGCGCCAACTAAGTTACTAACTAACTAGGTAGCTACCCAGAGGTAGGGTAGGTAGCCAGCCATCCAAGATCTCTCGAGGGGTAGGGGAAATTCACCGAGGGCGCGTCACATTGCGCACAACCTCAAATCTCACACCCCAACCTGCCAGTCGTGTTCCCTCTGGATAGGTACCTTGTGGTAGGTCTGGAACCCGTCATTGCATGTGGTCCCTGGCCGTTGTGCTCTGGTGACGAATGAGATGCCGGGACCCGGGCGTCACCGTGTAACACCATATGCAAAAGCTGTTTGAATGGCAGGTAAGTAGGGAGCAAGCACATGTCTGCCATACTTGTAGTGAGTGCGGTAGGTATCCGGGGGTGAGAAGAGACCTGGTCGCAAGCAACCTATCCAGGCCGGATTGGTGGTGGCCTACTTGCATCCTTACACACTATTGTAGAGCATGTGAATGGGCGTTGAACACCTTGCTATGGCAAAAGGAGGTTGAAGCCATTGTTTTTTGCTCGAAATCGATATAGGTATATGCAATGGGTTAGGTATGGGTTATGGGTTGCGGGGCGCTATCTCCTTTTTTTCCTGCTTAGAAGGAAATACCTAGTGCCCAGGGGTCACATAAGTGCATACAAGATAGATAGAAAAGAAGGATCTATTTCATTAAATCAAATCCGTTGCGTAACATGAGATGACGACCTTATAGGACTGACGACAAGCCGCAGTATCACATGCCCAGAGCGCCAATAACCTCATCGTGCATGTGTTTCTCCACCACCTCCAGGCCGATCGAAGTAATCCATCTGGGCCGGAATCCGGGGAGTAGAGAGGGACGATTGCCGGATTACTTATCCAGGGTGGGGAATCGAGGAGGGATGTATGTTGAATGGCTGGTATTCTGAGACACGGTCTGCATCTACTGTGAGCTTCTCGTCGTGATCGTGGCCGGCAGACGCAAACTTACCTCGCATACGGCTGCCGGCAGAGGCTGTCCGGTGAAGCCGCCACCCGGCGATCTCGATACCATACAGCTGTGTGCACGCACACCGATACATCTTCACCAAAACCATGAGGATCAGTTCGAGACACACATGCATTCTGGTCACGAGGCCATCGCATTTACATAACGGTTCAAGACACAATAAGATATTTTGTCACAAACATACAGATATACATATTTTTTTTCCTGGCGAGAACCCATGCATCCCAGCCAACCCCATACGCCACCGGATGCCGGGCCAGGTGAGAGCCATTGAAATGCGCACTGAAAACGAATAATACCCCCCATCCCGCGACGCCGAAGCACCATAATCAAAATCGTTCAATCTCGTACACTCATTACCATGGCAGGCCAGGGACAGGCCCTTATATCCACTTCTCGGGCTGCGGGCTCCCGAGGTCTGCTTGACTCTGTGTACCCGTGGCTGGCCGGGGGTTGTCCAGCCCTGACTTGTTATACCGGACGGCCACGTCACTGATTTTGACCATGCCATTGAACACCCTGACCGCCTCCTCGCTCTCCCGCCGGGTCTGGCTCTGCAGCTGCGTTTGCGACTTGTACCGCGTCATCCGCGTCGCTGCGGTGCCGAGCACCCTGCGCTCTGTGTTACCGACGATCTCATCGCGATCAACGCGGAATAGCTTGGGGAACCATGTCCGGAGGAGCGGTCGGAGTGCGGGCGCCGAGGCTGTGATGAGCGCGAGGTTCGTCTCGATGGCCGATGTCACGAAGCCGATGTTGGCGTCGGCGCTCAGCGTCGTCTTCAGCATGAACAGGCCCTGGATGAGTAGGAAGAGCCGGACAATGCTTGTGATGGTCGTACTAATTTGCCAATGAGATCAGCCCCCATGCACGTCCTGGTAGTGTTGTCGCGGAATATTAGAGGAGGGGGGGGGGGGGGGGGGGGGGGGGATGAAAAAAAGGAAACAAATTATAAAAATTAAAAATTTATGGATGTTTTTGGCGTAGGGTATATAAAAAAAGATAAAAAAAAAAAATTGT